ATTAATTATTATAAATTCAAAAGAGAAAAAGGAAAACAAAGAGATTAATATTAAAAGTGAGCAAATTCAAGAAGAGAGTGCTAACAAGATAACAAGATTCTTGGATGTTTAGTTAAATTGCAAGTTAAAAGACTCTTTAATTAGATCAAGAGCCCAAAAAACAGTACAGTCAACAATAAGAAGCTTGAATACAAAAAAAATGACAATAGCACAAATATCATATATTAATAATATGTACATTATTCCAAAATTACTATAAACTGCAAATGATAAAGTTAATAAAAGCAGTAGTTGATAAAATACAAAGCCCTTTATTAAAAGTAGCAAAAAACAAGCTAGGTATAGCAAGAACAGCAGATAACAGTATAATTTTATACAGAAACTTAGGAAACTGCAATTCGTTATGAGATCAACTTATTATCAAGCAAATTGTAAGTTTGCATACACAACTCAATACAGATGGCATAAAAGAATTAGTTACAAGAATATAAATAGACCAAGGTTTATTACTAGTTGATGCAATAGTAAATAATTGACATGAAAACTCTTCTAAGTTATATAATAGAATTTGGAAAAACAATTTAGTATGTTACACAATGCTAAAGGCCAAAGAATTGCAAGTTATAGTAAATTTCAGTAATCCAAGTTCAAAGCTGACTAGAAAAGAAAATAGAATTACTAATTTACTAGATACTAAGTTTATAAAAAAAGTAGCATTAGTACTAAAAAAACTTAAGTTAATATATATAGAACAGTTAATTAGCAAATTAGACAATCAAATGCTATTATAGCAACAACTTAAATTAATATGTAGTTAGTTATGTAAAGGCAGACAAGCAAAATAGTTTAGTGATATAGAAAATAAGCTAGTAGAGAATAGGCAAAGCAGAACTATAAAAGAGAAGTGGACAGTCAGAAAACCAAATGAACATGCAATTGAAGTTCAACTGAAAGCATTTTCAGAAGATAAAAGAAAGAAAGAATAGGTATTGCAAAGGGCAAACAAAAAAAAAGAAATTGCAAGTCCAATAGTTAAAAAAGTTATTGTAAGTACACAAAAAAAGGTTTTAACAGAACATTGGAAAACAAACACAAAAACAGAAAATACAGAATCAATATTAAAGAAATGCAAAGGCTGCATTTTAAACCAAAGATCAAAAAATAAAAATTATATAAAGTAGAAAAACAAGAGTGAAATTCAAGGCTTAATATCAAAATTTATAAAAAATTAAAAAGAAAAAATACTGGACTTGAGTTATGATATAATAGAACAGCTACAAGAAAAGAAAAAAATAAAACTAAACATTAGTAAAAGAAAAGTTGAATTTATATAATGTATGGATCTAAAAGCAAAAATTATCCAGAAGCAGCCAATAAATGTAATGATGAAGAGAAAACTCATTTATAAGAAAAATTTAAATTAGATAAAACCAGAAAAAGACTTAACTTTTTATATAAATAAATCTTTAAAAAAAAAACAAAGATTACAAAGTAAAATCCAGATCACATAGGTACAGGCTGGGTTCAAGTAGATAAAAAAGAGGAAAAGATCCTTGGAAAAAGATGTTTTGGAGTAAGAAATTGGTCATTATCAACAAAACCAAAGTTGCTAGTAATATGGTTTGTGTTACTTATGATACCAAAAAAGAGAACAGTTAAAATATTTACAAATAGTACAATAGCAATTGCCAATATAGAAGAGAAAAACACAAAAAGATCACTAAGACAATAACTTAAAAGAAAAAATTACAATTTATTAGAGAACATTAGTGATTGTATAGAATTAAAAAAACTTAAATTGGAACTAGTTAAAATTAAAGGACATAGTGATAATAGGTGGAACATTAAAGCAGATAAACTAGCAAAAGAGTGAGCTAAACTAGATGATATAGATAGAATAGTAAAAGAAACAGTACAAATAATTAGTATAAATCTTTGTTAGAAAAATAAAGTAATAGGAGACCCCACAAGACAATTTATAAAAGAAATTTTAGATTTAAAAAAGAGTATAGAATGGAGTTTTACAATAGCAATCAAAAAGGCAGAATCAAATCAGAGTAATAGAACATATAACTGGTCATACTTTTGAAAAAAAATGAAAGACCAAAATAGAAACAAATGTTTGAGTATAGAGAAAAATAAATGTATAGGAATATTAATTAAATGTATAAATGAAAAGTTGCCAGTAACCAAAACATTAGCATAATGTTATTCAGATTTTTATAAAAATCCATATTGCATTATATATAAAAAAGATATAGAAAAAGATCAAGATTATTTAGCAATATGCAAATGTTACGAAAATATATAGATAAATATAGAGAATACATCAATGAATTTGGTATGGATAAAGCTCTCAGCTGAAGTCAGAGCAGAATCAAATAAAGAGTAGCTTAAAGAAGTATTTTGGAATTTACAAACTGAAGAGAAAATTAAAACAAGATACAGAATAATCAAAGGTCTAATACTTGAAAAGACACTAGATTTGTTGCAAAATATACTTCATTTAAGTAAAGAAATGAAAAAGTTTGTGATAATAGTAATTAATACAGCATAGAATTGCTTTTATAAGGACATATGAAAAAAATAATGTGAAACTTTCGTCTTATAGAAAAAAGAAATAGGAATTGATAAGAAGAACAAAAAAAAAAAAAGAAATTTGATAAAAAACTCAACAAAGAAAGTTAATAAAGCTAGTTTTATAAGGAAAGCTATTAAAATAGAAAAGAGTCAAATGATTAAAACCAAAAAAATTAAAAAAAAGATAAAAAAAACAGAAATACATAAGATATGGTCTGGCTCAATCACAAATTTTATTTATAGTAAATTAAGACTATTTATATATGACCTTATTGGCTAGTTTGGTACAGTTCCTAGATTCAGGTATATCTTCAACCAATGTGGCAGACTGCCTCTAAACACTCAAAGAAGCAACCAAAAGCTGTCAGACCAAAAATTTAAGTTAAAATGTATGTAACATATATACAAAAATCTTAATAAAGGTTTATGGCAAGGCTGCCAAAGGAAAAAAAATATATATATAAAAGGTTTAAATAGACAATATCCCTAGTTAGATTGCAGATATAACAGCTAGTATAAAACTATTAGCAGACTACTTAAATTAGACACCAAAAGTATATATATGACTAGTTGTACTCTTTAATATAAAGGTAACTCCTATAAAGTCTTAGCCATGAGTTTTTATATTCTAATTACTAAATAAAAAGCATCAATTCCAAAAGAGACTAGTCTAATATAAAAAAAACTAAAATATATCTATAATATTTTATATTTATATATGCATTATTTTAAAAACTGACTAATTAATCAGTACAAGATATTCTAATTAAAAATGTTTTATGTTTCTAAAAGTTTTTTTCAAACCTAAAACATAAAAAATTTAAAAAAAACCATAATAAAAACATATAATAAATGCAAAACACCATAGATGCATTTTATAAGAATTATATATAATTTTAAAAAAATTAATTAGTCAAGTTTGTTTAAAAATTTCATATTATAAAAATTAAAAAATTAAATTTAAATAACCTTATATTAACGTATTTTATATAATATATTTTAAAAAATTACTACAATTATACTTCTTTATAATTATTATTTATATAACCAAAATTCTTTATAATTATTTTAAATTTTAAAAAATCGATAAATAAATTTATAAAAAATACTTTTATATAAACTCATCATAATAGAAATTTTATAATTACATATTTTTTGCATAAAACAAACTGAGTGATTATAAAGAAGTATAATTGTATTTGTATTTGGTAAGTATGAAATATATTTAATAATAAACAAAACTCATTAAAAATCATTAATATTTCAAAATTTTATTAAGATAACTATATGTAAATATCTTAAGTAAAATTGTTTAATACCTAATTTTGCATCCAACCACACATATTATTAAATCTTATCTTAACCTTAATATATTATATATATAATATATATATATACATATGTATTGTTGTACGTATAATTTTACGTAAAATTTTTATGTAATAATAGTAAATTATTTATTTTTTAAATAGTTTTATTGTATAATCAAGTTATTTAATCGAAGTAATTAATTTGACATAACGATAATCGGATAAGTTAATTTTTAAATAACAACTTAGTATGTAGAGTTGATAAGTTTAGGTTAAATATGAATACTATCAAAATCTCATGTAACAATGCCATGAAGGATGATTTTCCTACGTAGCAAAGATCTCATATAACTTAAAAACATTAATTTATTTACAAAATATGTATGTACGTACGTATCAACAAAGTTAATATTTAATTTTATATAAAAGATTTGCTTTAGTGTTTGTAGCATTTATAGTCTTTAATGGCATTATTTTTTTAGATGATTGACATGGAGATAACGAAATCAGCACGCCTTCACTATAATTAACTTATCTTTAAATCAGTTTTTTGTAGTATCAATATTTGTAATACGATAAATTTATCTGGACAACATAGAAACATGTGAAAATTTATGGTTAAAGAGAAACATTAATGTACGTACGTAGCAATTATTTAAAGTACTGATAAAGATAACCCGATCTATTAACAAGAAAATGATCAGTTAGCGGATTCCGAAATTGTGCAACCACACCGCCCGACAAATTCTCGAGTATACTTTAATTAATGTTTGTTGATTAGAGGTGCATCTGGCTGTGTGCTATCTTGTGTTATCTGAATCCTAAATATAACATACAAATAAAGGTATTTTCCAAATAAGTTCCGACAACCCCTTATCGACAAAATGATAAACATGATAAGATAAGGAAGAGTTATCAAAGAGTTATCTTATCAACGTACAGTTCTTTATGACAAGATTTTACTATATCGATAGTATATTATTATCTAATATTATAAGTGATGAACAATTACATATAAATAGAAAGCTTTTTCACCGTTTTTTCTTTACTTTTTTTTTTTAAAACAATAATAATAAATAATAAAATAAATAATAATAATGGATACCTTAGAACAACCCCTCACTACTGGTTCGTTAATCCCTCGAAGTGTTGGTATTGACCCTCGTGATGTTGGTACTCCAGATAATTGGGTCCCTCGTCATCCTGAACTTGTAAGACTAACAGGAAAACATCCTTTTAACGCGGAGGCACCATTATCTCTCTTAATGGAGCAGGGTTTTATCACACCAAACGCCTTACACTACGTTAGAAATCATGGACCTGTACCTAAGCTTCAGTGGGAAACACATAATTTAACTGTTGACGGGTGAGTAATATATAAAATATATATGAAAAAAACATTTTTTTTTAAACCAATAAGTATTTTTTTTCTAATTATGAGTATCTATGGCTTAGACTTGTGTCAAAACCGGTAATTTTGTCAATGGATGATATAGAAAGTCTTCCTTATAAGGAATTTCCAGTGACACTTTGCTGTGCCGGAAATCGAAGAAAAGAACAAAACATGATCAAACAAACTAAAGGATTTAACTGGGGAGCAGCAGCTACAAGCTGTGCGATCTGGAAAGGTGTTCCATTAGGTCATATTTTAAAATTAGCAGGAATTGTCGATCACAAAACCGATAAACCTCGTTACGTATGCTTTGCTGGTTGTGATAAATTACCAAATGGTTATTATGGTACAAGTATCCCTTTGGAATGGGCAATGAATGATGCCAACGATGTCATCCTAGCCTACGGAATGAATGGAGAAAAGTTACCACCTGATCATGGTTATCCATTACGTGTTATTATTCCTGGATGTATTGGTGGTCGGATGGTTAAATGGCTTTCAAAAATTACGGTAACTGACAAAGAGTCAGACAGTTATTATCATTATTATGATAATCGAGTTCTTCCTCCAGAGTATGATATGGAAAAAGCAAATAAGGAAAATGTGTGGTATAATCCAGATTATATTATCAACAAACTTAATATTAACTCAGCTATAACTTCACCGGCACACAATGAACGTATTTCATTATCAAGCTTTGTTAGTACAAAAGAGTATACAATTAAAGGATATGCATACACTGGAGGTGGACAAAAAGTTACTCGTGTAGAAATTTCTTTAGACAATGGCAACACATGGCTTCTCGCAAAATTGACACAACCAGAGCTTGAACATCCAGAAGTTTTAAAAAGAGGAATAAACCCTATTCCACGATTTTGGTGTTGGAGTTTTTGGTCAATATCCGTCCCACTTTATTCATTTATTCGATGTGAAGAAATTTCTGTAAGAGCTTGGGATGCCACTCATAATACACAACCTCGATTACCAACATGGAATGTCATGGGGATGATGAATAATTGTCATTTCCGTGTAAAAGTAAACACTGCCAATCAAGGAAAAGAATTTTTCTTAGAATTCAGACATCCAACTCAGCCCGGTAATAATCCCGGCGGTTGGATGGTTAAGCCCGAACCAATAAAAATGGTAAACGCGGCTTCCGAACCATCAACATCTGTTGGTCGTTCCTTTACCATCAAACAAGTGGAAAAACATAATACTGAAAAAGATTGTTGGATTATAATAGAGAAAAAAGTCTATGATTGTACCAAATTCCTAAAAGTACATCCTGGTGGTATGTATTAATTTCATTTACTATAAAGAATCCTCTCTAAATACGCACACCACGGGATAGATAGTGTGTAAATTTAGGAAGGGTTCCCGGTATTATTGTGCATAATTGCTAATTCTGATTTCTATATTTATTTTTATTTATAGGTCTTGAAGCTATTCTTATCAATGCCGGGAAAGATGTAACGGAAGAGTTCAATGCCATCCATTCTAATAAAGCAAGATCCAGGTTGAGCAAATTCTATATTGGTGATCTATCAGACACATCTCTACCAAAATTATAAGGCTCCATTTTTCAATTAAAAATTTCCTTTATTTTATTTTATTTTATTTTATTTTATCGTTATCACAAAAATCAATGTTTTTTTATGCAATACAATATCAATTGTACGTAAATATGTAATTTTTTTAAAAAAAAAAAAAAATTTTTTTTATTTTTGCACACGCATAATTTGTGTGCTTTTAATGCTTAGAATGTAATGTATGAAAGAAAAAAGAAAGACATTTCACAGCATCTATGTTACAATGAATGTTTTAAAAAAAATATTCTCCTGAAAATATTTATGTTGAGAAAAGAATAAGCAGCAGAAAAACTTTTTATCATTTGTAATTAAATACAAATTTGAATAAAATTTATGGAGCTCCTTTTCTTATGTACGCCATTGTAGTATCGACAATTTGTTTATTTACTGTATTTACTATATTTACTGTATAACCAATCATCTAAACATCTATATTTGAATATGGCAACTTGTTACATATCGTCTGACTGGTTCTGGAATGTTATATGTCGGCTGAAAAATAAAATCATTAATTTTGACAGACAATAGAGAAAGTTATCTTAACTTATATTGGAACACATGGTTTTAAATCTGGAAACTTTTACGTACAAAGGTAGTAAATAATTTTTAATGTAACACATATAACAACATAATTGATAAAATTGCACACGTGTACATATAAAATACTATCTGATATCTGGTATCAAACGAACATTCTATCATAATCTGCGATCTTGTTACATAAATGGTTTATCTTTTGTGATATAGTTATCGCGTACATACATACTTATCGTTATCATTTTAAACGTTGATATTTTCGGGAAATTTCGTTATCGTTATTATAAGTTTAAATAGTTAGCATTGTCCATTGATAATTGTCACATCCATCCATTACATAATAGATATAATATGGATGCGATAATCACTAATGAAAAGATGTTTAATAACACTGGGTGCGACACATTGTAGCAAAGTAATTACAAATAATACACTTGAAATTCTAGCGCTAGTTGATGAATAATTACAAGGATTTTGAAAGACCTCATTGTAGTAATTATGAAACCTAGACTCTATATGCAAGGCTATAATAATAATCTTTAATAATATAATGATATTGTTTCTTATATATAGTATATATAGCATATATATGTCCAATCGTTAGTTGAAAAACCAACTAGTTGACAACTTTTCAACTAATCGATTTGGAAAATTTCGAAACAACTAGTTGATTAAATCATCAATTAGTTAAATTCTAAGATATTCTGTCTATTCAGACTGTCTCGTGTTGATTTCTTTAATTTGATTGGCCAATTAACAAGTTTAGTACATTATATATAGAAAAAATCGATTAGTTGCTGGCATCAACATAATTCCGGCCCGCACTAATCGTAAAATTCTGCTAGGGGCCATTTTGACCTGGGTCAAGTTTAACTTGACCTAAAAACCCACTTGACCCGTAACATATACATATTGTACTTCAAATTACAGTCTAATTCAAAATCAATTGACCAAACCTAACCTTAATATTTAGATTTAAAATATTTTTTTTTAATTCAATTAACATTATATCTGAAACAAATTAATAAATAAATTAATATTAGCATTAATGAAGCAATCAAAATTCAGCAAATTAATTCAAATTTAGGGTCAAAATAGACACAAAGCTAGGTTGCATTAAGTATATAGACTAACTTTTTTGAAATTAGTATTTATACAATTTAAAGTATTTTTACAATTTTTAATAATAAATATTTTTTTAAAAAAATCAAAAACTTATTAAAATATTTAAAAAACTTTTTAAAAATAAATTTTTAAAAATTTTGTATATTTTTAAAATTTATTACATTTAGATATATTTTGTTAAAAAATAAATTTTAGTTTTAAAAAACAACAATATGCAATAATTATATATATTACTAACTTATTTAAAACTAAATAATACATATAATATATAAAAATTTTTTTTTTAAACTTAAGCAGTCATACTAATACTTTATTAAAATTCTTGAAATTACTATTGTAATTATATAAATGTATTTAACAACTAAGCCTAGCATTACTTAATCACTCTAATAGTACCTAAGTGCAAACTGTTATATTATTTTAAACAAAAGTAAGTTGCTTGTCTGACTACTTAAAATCTATAATAAAAAAGTTTTTTTCTTTTTATAACAAGCTTTAAAATTATCTTTTTAACATTATCTTTAACTTATTTTTCTTTTTTTTTGCTTTTTTTTTTTTCTTCTATTTTTTGCTAACTAGCTTTTTTCTTCTTGCTTAAATTTTTTTTCTTTCTTTGAGATTTTTTTTTATTTTGCTAATTATTTTTGTCTTTTTTTTATTTATTAACTTTTTTTTTTATATCATATTCTTCAAACTTGCTTGTAAAAGATATTTCAGACTGTTTCTGTTAATTTATTTACAAATTGTTGTCTCATTCTTATATCTAGGAGTTGCACTAATCTGTCTTGAATTGTCTTTGGAATTAAGCTCTTAATTAGTGCTTTTCTTATTTCAGTTTTTTCTGTTTCAGTTTTTTCAAATAATACTATATACAATATATAAGATAAAACTCTAGTTTTTTCTTTTTTTTTAATTCTTTTCATGCAATTGTAATAGATACTTTTTATATTCTTTTCCAAAAACTTGTTTGTTCTTTGCATGTTACCAAATGTCTTTGTGTTTCTTTAATTTTGTCTTGACATACTTGGTATTTTGTGTTTACATATAAATCTAGTCTTCTTTTGTTAAGTTTCTTTAATGTCAAAAGTTTATCCAATATACACTTTATAAAAGCACTTTTTCTTGTTATACAGTATACTTATTTAATTAACTTTAAACTTTTCAAAAAATATATTTAGTTATAAATTGTTATCTCTATTACTAGTTCTAAGCTCTTGATTACTATTGTTTTTCTTTACTCTGTGTCTAGTCTAACATTCATTATTAGCTTATATAGAAGTTTTGTTAACATGCCTATTCATTTGTTTTCCTACTTTAAGTAGTACTCTATCTCTTTACAACTGACTTCTTTTATATATATTATTTTTCTAATTATGGTTCTTTCCTTTATAAGACTATTAGCTTTATTATTTTATTTGTTTTTGCTATGATTTTTTACCTTAAACTACTCTATTCATATGTTTTTTATTCTAACTAGTTGATTATCTTTACTATCCAAAAAGTATTTTTTCTCTTAAGAATTCTTTTTCTATTAATGTATTCTAACTTTTTACTAATGCTTTTAATTGTAGCATTACTATCTATAAATATTTTTAATTTTTTTTCTTTTAGTATAGTCAAAATTACTGCTCATATTGCTAATAACTCTGTTGCAGTTAACATTGATCACTTTTTAACTCTAATACTATCTCTTCTTTTGACCAATCTTGTGCTTCACTTATCTGCATCTATCTTATACCTATATTTCTATCTATTGCTTTTTTTTTATTTTGTCTATTTGTTGTATCATCTGTATATATTATATACTTGTTCTTGTTTCTTGATACATTTCTCTTTAAGGTTTCTATTTTTTCTTAAATGTCATTTTTTTTTAATATTTACTTTCTAACTAGCTCTGTTTCTAGATCCTCTAGTATTTTTAGTCCTGTTAATTTTTATTTATTTTTCTTTAACTTTTCTGTTCTTGTATATCTTATTAGTTAGTTTGTTGCTGTCTTAATTATATTGTTGCTTTTAACTATTATATCTGGAACTACTTTTATCTCATTATTGATTCTTATCTACTGTCAACAGTTGTTTTCTACTGTTTCTTTTTCATTCATACACCTATCATATTTACTAATTTTAGTTACTAAATCACTTTCTACATTTTGTATTTACCAATATTTTATTAGTACTTTTTTTTTTTTTTTAATTACTTTTTTAGTTGTTTGTCATCTTTTGTATTATATAATATCTATTCTTTTTGTTTTCTATTCTTTAAAAGACTTTCCTACTTGATCTTTATTGCTGATATATTATGTTCATTTGTTCTAAAGTGTTCTTTAACCTCTCTGTTCTCTAGTTTATTAAATACTTTTTCTTTTATTCTTTTGAACCATTCTGGTTTTTTATTTAGTTTAATTGTTTTTGGTAAATTTTAAATTGCTATTATGTAATTAGTCTTTTGTATTGAATAGTTGGTTTAGATATATTAGATCTGTTTTACTTATTATGGCTCTATTTCTTTTTTACAGTTATGTTTCTAGTAGTTTGATTATTTTGTAACTATAACTACTCATTGTTCATAGCTTACTTCCTGTACTTATATTATTTTTAGCTTTTTTATCTTAACTATTATCAAACAAATTAGATTGTTCTTTCAACATGTTTTATCTTCTGACAGCTTCTCTAATTTCTATATATCTTCTGTTAATTTTGCTTTTTGGCAACCTTGTATTATTCTTAATTTTGTTAGTTGGTCTAATTTATCTTTTTTATTAAGTCTTGTTAACAGTTCTGCTACTTGTTTTATAATTAATTCTTGTCATAATGTTTTGCAACTACTCAGTTCTTTGTGTTCTATTATGCTATACTCTAATGTTTTTAATAAGTTACTTTTTTGTTTTGTCAAATATATCATTAGTTGATATACTTTGTTTATTCTTTTCTTTAATATTTTTGTTAACTGTAATATATAGCTTAACTTTAGTATTATTACTATATTGTTTATATATGCTATCTGACTTATTGTTATTTTCTTGTACTTAAAATTTCTTATTGTTTGGCTTATGATTTCTTTTGCTTTTTTCTTAACTAGAACTTCTTATATTCTGTTGTTTAGTTAGATTTCCAAGAAGCAAATTATTTTGTTTTTGGTTTTTCTATTATTTTACTTTTTTCAAATATTAATTTTTTTTGACTTTCTCATTTATTATTATCAGCTTTGACTCAACTCTATTTATCTTTATATTATTTATTTTAAAAAAATTTTCTATTACTTTTAATGTTTCTAATAGCTGTTTTATGTTGTTCATAATCTATATTATATCATTTATATA